GAAAACGCACCCTCCCGGACAGGGAAACACAGTGGCCCTGAAGGACGGAACAGCGCCAAAATCGAGCCCAAAAAGTCCCTAACGTCCCTTCTGAAACCCTAGAAAAATAATAGTTTTGGACAAGGTTTTATGGTTTTCGACCAATTTTTATACCACTATTTGTACAATGAGACATACAACCCTCCTGTTGCTCCTGTTGCTGCCGCTGCTCTTCCTCCCGAGGCTGAAAACGCACCCTCCCGGACAGGGAAAAACACAGTGGCCCTGAAGGACGGAACAGCGCCAAAATCGAGCCCAAAAAGTCCCTAACGTCCCTTCTGAAACCCTAGAAAAACAATAGTTTTGGACAAGGTTTTATGGTTTTCGACCAATTTTTTTTTTTTTTTTTATACCACTGTTTGTACAATGAGACATACAACCCTCCTGTTGCTCCTGTTGCTGCCGCTGCTCTTCCTCCCGAGGCTGAAAACGCACCCTCCCGGACAGGGAAACACAGTGGCCCTGAAGGACGGAACAGCGCCAAAATCGAGCCCAAAAAGTCCCTAACGTCCCTTCTGAAACTATAGAAAAGCAATAGTTTTGGATAAGGTTTTATGGTTTTCGACCAATTTTTATACCACTGTTTGTACAATGAGGACATACAAAACCCTCTGTTTGCTTCCTGTTGCTGCTGCTGCTCTTCCTCCCGAGGCTCAAAACGCACCCTCCCGGACAGGGAAACACAGTGGCCCTGAAGGACGGAACAGCGCCAAAATCGAGCCCAAAAAGTCCCTAACGTCCCTTCTGAAACCCTAGAAAAACAATAGTTTTGGACAAGGTTGCATGGTTTTCGACAATTTTATTTTATTTATTTTTTAATACCACTGTTTGTACAATGAGACATACAACCCTCTTCCTCCCGAGGCTGAAAACGCACCCTCCCGGACAGGGAAACACAGTGGCCCTGAAGGACGGAACAGCGCCAAAATCGAGCCCAAAAAGTCCCTAACGTCCCTTCTGAAACCCTAGAAAGACAATAGTTTTGGACAAGGTTTTATGGTTTTCGGCCAATTTTTATACCACTGTTTGTACGATGAGACATACAACCCTCCTGTTGCTCCTGTTGCTGCTGCTGCTCTTCCTCCCGAGGCTGAAAACGCACCCTCCCGGACAGGGAAACACAGTGGCCCTGAAGGACGGAACAGCGCCAAAATCGAGCCCAAAAACTTCCTAACGTCCCTTCTGAAACTCTAGAAAAACAATAGTTTTGGACAAGGTTTTATGGTTTTCGACCAATTTTTATACCAGTGTTTCTACAATGAGACAGAACCCTCCTGTTGCTCCTGTTGCTGCTGCTGCTCTTCCTCCCGAGCACCCTCCCAGACAGGGAAACACAGTGGCCCTGAAGGACGGAACAGCGCCAAAATCGAGCCCAAAAACTCCCTAACGTCCCTTCTGAAACCCTAGAAAAACAATAGTTTTGGACAAGGTTTTGTGGTTTTCGACCAATTTTTATACCACTGTTTCTACAATGAGACATAGAACC